GTAACACCCTCCGGATGTCAACCTCACAAGAAAAGGGCCCTTGTTTGGAGGGCAGGGCCACATACTTGTTGTCTGTGTAATTACCACACAGCAACAAAGATGGAAATTCTTCTGACAGTTCCGCTTGGGAAAACCATGTAAAGTCTCCTAAAACAGCTGCCTCAATGCTAAATTCTGACTCGTGCAATGAGATTAATTTACACCCAGGATTGATGACACATTATCAGGCTGTAGGACTGAGCACACACCTCCATGCACTCATCGTTCAGGCCGTCCTGACTTTGTGTAAAAACTCCAGCCACCGCACTGTGTGCCCATCAGTGCTTCAGCAGCAGAATGACCAGGAGGCAGAAAGAAGGACGCGAAAATGGCCACTTTCCTGTGGGTGACCAAGTGAGCCTGTCTACAGAGTACAAGGTGCGAGTTCCGCCCCCTGGTCCCCTCTGAGGGCAGAAGGAGAACCCATCCTGAGGTTGTGCCCGAGTGGAGGGGCCTCCTGTGCATGCCCTTAATGCAGGGTCAACATAAAACGCGCTTAGAATCTTAACAGAAACAAGAGTTTATGGTGTGCGGATGACCTTGTTGGCAATAAAATCTCCCAAATCTCCTGCAAAGCATCACAGTCCCAGGAAGTGGTCTCCCTCTGGGAGGGTGTTTTCTAGAAAGCAGTTAACATTCAACTTAGCTTTGGTAAAGAGACCAAGGAGATTCCTTACCAGAAAAGCAGGCAGTGACTGACACACAGAGTATTCCAAGTGGCCTGATATAATCCCATGTTTATTCAATGCCCATCCCTCCCCTCCCCCAGTCACAAAATTAAGTATCATCTGTCTCTGACCCTCCCACCCTGAAAAGACTTGCTTTGTAAAGCTCCCCGGTCCTTCCATGCAAAATAAACATCACATCCTCATTCTTACTGTTCTTGGTAGTTTCTAAGACTCTAAATCAGAGGTTCTCAACCTGTGGGTCGCCGCGACCTATAGGAACTGTATTAAAGAGGTGTGGCATTAGGAAAGTTGAGAACCGCTACTCTAAATGGAAAAAAAATACACATGATTATGTGTGTTGTATGCCTATGGAAGGAAAACGGTAGTGTGTGAACGAGAAAGTGAGTAGACAAATCTAATAGCCATACCTGGGGTGGGGAGGGTGGCTGGGTTCAAATCAGTCAAAGTAATAGGGTATATTATTATAGAGTATCCCGAAAGTCACCCCTAAACTCCCCCAAATAGGGAAAATGATAAATTATAGCTAAATGAACATTTACAAAATAATCATTATAAAATTTTATAAAATATTCTTTATGTATTGGCCACCTCTTTGTAAAATTTTGTAGTGAATATTTTGTAAATAAAGGTACATTTAACTACAGCTTCCCATTTTCCCTGTGTATGGTGACTTTCAGGACACCCTTATGTACCTTGTATGTTAAATATATTATTATATTAACCACATGCAATCTATGTGGATTTCCATATCTTTGATAGATTTCAGTATTCTTTGAAGTCCACAGAGAGGACAGTCCCATTCACTTGGAGAAGACATGTAGGTGACATCCCCACGGGGCCTTCAGCAGCTGCAGGTAACTCAGGAGACAGAGCCTTCTGTTCTTAGTCACCCTTGATTTCATGGTTACACCCTTTGGTCGCACAGATCTGTGACTTTATTCCTTCTGAGGCTTGGCCCCAGGTCGAGTTGAGTAAGAAGTGCAAAAGTTATGCCCAGTAACGGGCAGGGATTTTTTTTTTTTTGGAGACATAGTCTTACTTTGTCACCTTGGGTAGAGTTTTGTGGTGTCACAGCTCATAGCAACATCAAACTCTTGGGTTTGAACATTCCTCTTGCTCCAGCCTCCCGAGTGGCTGGGACTACAGGCACCTATCACCATGCCTGGCTAGTTTTTCTATTTTTAGTGGAGATGGGGGGGTCTCTCTCTTGCTCAGGCTGGTCTTGAATGCCTGAGCTCAAGTCATCCTCCTCCTCCACCTCCCAGACTGCTGGGATTATAGGCACGAGCCACCATGCCTGGCCCATAGGAAGGTTTGATGGTGTCTGGATGAGCCCCAGTGTTAATACCTGGGTTTGGCCCTGTTAATGGCACATATTAAAACACGTGGAAAACAGAGCCATGTCCCTCCTGCCTGGCAATGTGGTGATGGCCCTGCTGAAACGCCTTTCTGTAGAACCCCTCTCCCCCACACTCCACCAATCACTGGCCTAAGGGAGGCAGTTTCCTCTTGAAGCACAGTGGGCTACAGAGTCATGGAGAAAGTTGAAAATTGGAGCAGAACTAGCTCCAGGCTGTGCTGGAGAACATGAAATTTTAGTCATGTTTAAAAGGAAACAATCACCAACAAGCATCATCACTGTCACCCTCACCAGTGAACAGCCTGCTGGGGGTGGAGTACGGTCAGAGGATCACAGCGTCCTTGGGTGCCTTTCTTGCCTTCAATACAAACACACACAACATTTTAAAGGATAAACAAAACGCGGGCCACACTGCCTTGCCTCCAGTGTGTTTCACTGCGTTTTCGTTCAGACCAATAGCTTTAACTCCTTTGTATTCTCTTGTATTCAAAAGCAGTGAAAACTTTCTTCAAACAAAAGTAGCCCTGTTCTGGCTGAAGCAAAGAGTGAAGGGCTCACTGAGTTTGAATTTTCAGCAACCATCTCAAGACTCAGAATCCTACGAGTGGCCAGCAGAGGACGTGGCGTGCAGAGGCATTCTGTCACAACACAAAACAAAACATCCTTCCCCCTCAAGCCTCTGGAACAGGCAGCCACACAGGACTATTTACAGGTTAACTTCACTTAAAATAATGTTTTAAAATTCAACCTCCCATGTCACACTTACCCCGTTCCAAGTGCTCAATAGCCACTCGTGGCTAGGGCTCAACATCCCGGGTAGCGCAGACACAGAACATGCCCATCATCATAGTTAGTTCTGTCCCACAGTCCCACAGGGCTGCTCCAGAGAGGCCCGAAGAACAAGTTGAGGTTCCAGCTACCTCTGCTTGTCCAGCTCAGAGGCTCCAGGGAGGAAGGAAGGAGCCACCCCAGCTGCCTCGCAGCAAACAACCTCTGGCAAGGCACTGCCCTCTTTCTGAGCCTCATTTTCCACGGACAGAAAGATGAGGATAATTCCACATAGTGGTTTTCATTACCAAACCAAATAATTGCAGGGAAAATGCTTTAAGATGCTACAAAAATGCAAAGTGCTTTAATGTATAAATATTATACATTAGTCTTAAGGTTGTGATTTATTTTTTTTTCAACTTTGCTGAGAAAGGGGTCAGATACCCCCTGATCTGCTGCAGCAGAGAACAGAGGGAAGGCGCTCCAGACCCTCCTGGACTCCCTCGTGGGCTGGTTCCAGCTGCCTCCGTGGTGCAGTGAAAATCAGAAAGTAAGCTCTGCCTTTTTGTCCACTGTGGAGTGTTGGGGGGGGCCTAACGCACTTAAACCCTCTCCCCTCCTTTTCCTTTTCTCCTAAGACAAAGACACAAAGGATCTGGCTAGCCCACTCCCCAGAAGGTCATGTCAAGAACCCTAACCTTGTAGGCAAGGCGTGGAATTTGCCCAGTCCTTAGAGCCCCATATAAAGGGGTTTCTAACTGCCCCTGGGCACAGAGGCCACCTTTGCACTGCCCAGGAAGGTCACCCTCCCTTTTCAGTAAACTTGGCCTGAATACTTCCACTACGGTCTCCTCTCATCCTTCACACCTTTCAGGGAGAGTGACTGCTCTATAGCAGGAGTGAAAGGGCAGCCTTTTAAAAATAACAGGCAACTATCTCATCTGGCCATTCCCTAACAACAGTTAAGACCAATCCTATGGGTTCTCCCACTCCTGGGCATCTTGTGGGATTTCTGTTTTGCACAACCTCTGAAAAGAGCTGAGCACACGGAAAAGAGACATAAATCTTTCTCTTTTAAAATTGCTCTTGAGAATCTGCTTGTTACAGTTGTGAGAAATTCCTGAGTGAGCAGCAGGGGTGTGAGCTTCAGGCCTCAGAGGCCACATCTCCAGGGCAGACACATCTCCAGCCATGAAGCCTGTCCCTGAGGACAGGCAGGGGAGCCCACTTGGCGATTTTGACATCCTGCCATCGCTTCTGTCATCAGAAGGAGGAGCTGAGCGGCCACAGCAGCACCCCGTTGCTGTGGCTGCTGCTAGAAACCTTCTTCACCCACTGCATGAACAGCCACGTCCCTGATTCTCTCTGCCACACTATCCCCCTTTTTCACTGTGTTGGCTTTTTTCTGTCTAGACAAAGTAATTTTTTCTTCTTTCTGTCCTAATTGCGGTCCAAAGAAATCTCTCCAACCCGCCTTCACTAATTTAGATACTGACGAGGAACATAAGAAATATTTGTTGAATAAACAAAAGAAGCTCCTGGCTAATGTTGCTGACTCCAGAGTTCTCAGTGGACTCTGCTGTTTTCCTAAAGGAACACCCCCCCACCCCCCCAAAATCTTGGCATTTCCATGGGTTGATGGCACTAACAGAACGAAGGGTGTCAGTCCTCAGGACAGCATCAGACATGCCAGTTTTTTGTCAGGGATGGTTTTAACTACCTGTTGAATGCTACTATGATCTAGAAACCATCCTAGATGCTGTATGAACTCCTCTCCCTCACCCCTTCGAAGTCAGACATTATTATCTCCACTTTACAAATAAATTGACATTAGAAAGGTTGGGTGACTTGTGCTTGTGTGACCAGGACATATACTAAAATTGGATGCTACCAAGAAGTTTAGCATGGCCCCTGGGCAAGAACGACACAAAGAATTGTGATGTGTTCAGTATTAAAAAGAAAAAAAAACAAAGCAAAGATCAGTAACTTGCCCAAGGTCACACAGTGGTAATGGGGGAGGTGTGTGTGGACAACTGAGATTAAAATTGAAGTCTTTCTGATTCTGAAGTCTTTCTTTTTTTTTAAATTTCTCTACAAAGCCTAAAATTAGTAGTGTAACTGATGGCACCCAGGTCACACCTCTAGGTTGTACAGTGCAGAGATGGCTTCTGCCACTAAATGGCACAGGGTATAGCTGGAAAGAATATCCCATCTTTGCCCCAGTCTGGCGTCTGGGCATGTTTGGCCTGGAAGGGCAGAGTGGCACAGGTTAGCGGGCAGGGTGGTTTTAGGTCAGCTTACGGCTGAGGTACCCTGGGAGCCAGAAGTCCTTCACATGTTAGGAGCCAGCAGTAACAAAGCTGCTTCTTGGAGTTCTTTTCCTCCAAAAGTGAGGCCTACAGGTTCTAGAACTCAGGGCATAGCGGCAGCCAGGCTGCCTGGGTTAAAAACAACAGTTCTGCCCTTAACTAGCGGTGCTGCTTTACCAAGTTGCATACCCTGTCTAGGCCTCATTTCCTCACCTGTGAGATCAGAAAATAACAGTGATGTCTACCTAAGAGTGTTCGCGTAAAGATGAAATGACATGTGGGCAGGGTTGAACAGTGTCTGGAACACAGAAAGCATTCAGTTCGTGTCAGCAAAAACGACCACCAATGAAACTTTAAAGCAACCCGTCTCCTCCCCAAATCCAAGGGGTAAAATAAAAGCCTCCCTGAATTATCCCACAGAAGGGGCCTGGTGTCAGGCTATAGTGGCCTCAGCTCCCTGGTAGTCCCTGGTCAGAGTCACACAGGCAGGGCGCCAAGGCCAGGCAACGCTCTCTCGCTGAAGTCCTTGTAGCTGTGTCCCTCTCACACAGGTGTGTGATTCCATCGGAGGCCACACACGTACACACAAAACACCCCCAAACCAACACACAGATGTTGCTTAAGAATTTCCCAGACACTACTGGGAAGTAAAGGCTAAAGGTATGAAATATGATTCTCAATAATTCCTAAGACCTCACAGAAGTATTAAACACAAAGCTTCCCCAGTGCTCAAAGGCAAAGGGGAAAAGGAAATAGTTCACATTTGTTAAAGAGAATAATGCCACATAACTCACACGGTGTGATAATAGTTCACGTGTGCAGGCAGGTATAATTTTCTGGGTTCTTTTTATTCCTTTAGCAAAAAGTCTGTGCTTGTGTTTGTGAAACCACGGTCCTGAGAGGAATTTCCCAGACAGAGGCAGAAGGGTGGGTCAGAAAACAGAACCACAGGATTCAGATGCAGTAGAGGGAGGTGAGAGCGCCAGAGCTTCAGTTCAGTAAGAATCACGCAGCCTTGGGCAGGCTGCTTCCTCCCACCAGGCCTCTGCTGCCTCCCTGTACCTACCCCCAGCAGTGTTTCTAGGACTGAGCGAGGGGACGTGTGCAGTGTGCTTGGAACAGTGCGTGGTGGGTGTCATTATTACTTTTGCTGCCGTCATCTGGGAGTGGACAGATAGACTCCAAGGGCCAGTGGCAAGGCCCAATTCTGCGGGAGTCACCTCTGGTATGACCAGCCCAGTTGTGGCCATTTCACCATAAAAAGTCTCTTACTAGATTGGAAAAAAAAATTCTAATCTATTTTCGTAGATCTGAGAACTAAATGCAATAGTTCTGCAGACAAAGTCACCATAAGGACGGTGATGAGCAGCTGCCATGAGCTTCCCGCTCATGAGCTTCAAGGGACCAGACAGCGAGGAGGGCTGTACTCCCGAGAGGCAAGGTCATCCCCAGGGCTGGGGCAGAAGGAAGAGTGGTGGAGGGTCTGCAGACCCGGGAGCCGGAGGCGGCACTGCTGTGGCTGTACAATGAGGCCCAGGGCAAGCCACACTCATTTTCTCCTCTGAAGAGCCAGGAACTCCTGCTGCCCTTCCCCTCCAAGGTACCATACCCTGGGATCCAATAACACAGTGTCAAAGGCACCATTCACGACATCAGGGCATGTCTTTGTCATTGACACGGTGGCCATGGGTGAGGGGCTCAACCTTTCTTCTTCTTTTTTTCTTTTGTCTTGCAGTTTTTGGCCAGGGCTGGGTTTGAACCCGCCACCTTTGGCATATGGGGCTGGCGCCATACTCCTTTGAGCCACAGGCACTCCCCAAGGGGCTTAACCTTTCTTAGCTTCATCTTGCTAATCATAAAATAGGAATAATATTAACATAGCCCCAGGAAAGTTCTTTTTTGAACAAGACTTGATAGAAAACATATGAGGCTTGTGCTTCTGCTGCAAAGACTCAACTCTGCTGATGTAGCACAAAAGCAGCCATAGATGAGAAATAACAGAACGGGCAGGGCTGCGTTTCAATAAAACCTTATTCACACAACAGGTGAGACCAGATTTGGCCCCTGGGCCATAGCTGCAAGCCCGTTTCTGAAGGTCAAGTGAGAAAATGCTCTTCCTTATTTTGATCAGTAACACGGGCTTTCCAATGATATAATGTCCATGCAGTCCGCACACAGTGACGCTTATTAATGGCAGTTCATTACGAGTACTAATGCCACAAACGATGCATTCGAATATGGCTTTCTAAGTCTTAAGCACTGTCTACCCACGTCTGCCACACCTGCCAAGCAAAGCATCAGCCAACTGACCACTCAAAGAACATCAAACCACTGTCATGAATTCGTGCTATTTTGAACATCTATTTTGTGCCAGGCCCTGCGTTGGGAGGTAGTGAGAGGAACGTGGTATTCCTTCCTCTTTAGGTCACTGCTGTCCAGTAATGCTGGACAGAATTTCCAGTGATGATGGAAATGGTTTTTATATTTGCCATTCAGTACAACCACCATTGGCCACATGTGGCTAACGAGCGCTTGAAATGTGGAGGTGCTACTTAGAAACTGAATTGGGGGGTGATTTAAGTTCAGTTTCAATTCTGCATGTGGCCTGTGGCTACCATATTAGACAGTACAGCTTCAGATGTCCTTGTCCCTGGAGGAACCTCTGCCTTGGTGGAGCAGTAAGAGACCAGTAAGTCACCAAGCCCTGAGCAGAGCAGGGTTTAGTGCAGGTGAGAGGAGGGCTGGGGGGAGGAGGGCTGGGAGGGGCCCTGGGCTTCTGAACTGGGCTCAATCAATTTTACAGGAAGAAAGATCGAGGTGGTTAAGCGACTTTGCCTTCATGACGCAGGATTCCTCACCTAGGTGGTGTCACCCTAACTTCCTGCTTGCCAGTGAATTCATTAGTGCGGGGACACTGGTAGTATTTATAGCCTGGGAGGCACTGGGATTCAGTGCACCAGAACCTTCCATGAGAAAAGGTACTGCTGGCTGATCTTACTACAAAAGTGTTCACTGGTTCTCAGTGCATGTGCCGTGGTCCGCCAGGAGTTTCACATGGTGCCCTGTCTGGCAAGAATGATCTCAGCTTAAGCAGTATGTGGGGCAGTAGTTATTACTCTGCAGGTAATTAAAGGCAATCTCTGCAGTCAACCTTTACAACTATTTTGATCTTGGGTAACAACAAAATAATACAGAACTCATATCCTCTCCTTATACAGATGTGAAAAACAGTCAACAGGTATCAACGTGGGGGGAACCAAAGCTTCCTTACCACATAGAATGTCTGCACAAATGAGCCCAGCCTATGCTCCCCCGTGTTGAACAATCATCAGTCACCGGCGACCTTTTGAAACTATGGGGCCATGTGTGTGATCTGTCTGTCCTTCCCAGTGTTCTAGAGATGAACATGGTGGCTGCTGACCCTCAAAGGTTCGAGAGGGCACATGGAGGGGTGTGTGTGTCAGGCCTGGCTGGCACTCCCGAGTCAACCACAGGTAACACCTGCCTCTTCTAGTTTAAGGTAGCGCTCCCCTCCTGGGTGGCGGTGGGGCCAGCAAGGAGGAGAAGGTCAGGAAAGAACAGTCTCTGCCCAACTTGCCCAACCAAGGGCCTCCTTTATAATAATGTCCCATGAAGACCCCAAATTCAAACATAAGTCCAAAAAGACACTGAGTTATAACAACAAAGTTTTCACCTCGGGAGAAAAGCCCAGCCTCTGACTGAGGTGACAGCTGCATGTCCCCTCACTGAGTCACTTAAGAAAGGTACAGAGGGCAGGGCATGGTGGGTGGATCGCTTGAGCTGAGGAGATTGAGAGCAGCCTGAGCAAGAGTGAAACCCA